ATATATATATATATATATATATAAAAATGCAACCCCAATGACGAAATTACAACATCAGGCTTCTTTCTAGTAGTCTTACTAACAAGTCATCTTCAATGTAAACAGTGTGATCATCCACCATTAGGGCTGTGCTTAAACTGAATCTTGCTGAGCTCTAAAGACTGACAGGCTAGTTCTCTTTGGTTGTTTCTGTATACTACATTGATTTGTGTGGCTTGAAAACAAGGCGTTATTTAGCAGCAGAATGCACAAACAAACTGGTGCAGCCACTTAAGGACAAGAATTAGATCAATTATACTGAGACACAAATGCTCCAATTGTGTAATACCAGACATAATGAACTAGATGCTGAAAAATGGTACAACACAGTTGTAAATAAACAGTAATGAATCCATATTTTTGGATTGGCTTTGTCAACGAGTCTCTCATATTCTTTCAGGAACATTCAGGTGGTTGGTTTCCCCACAGTTGGAGACACTCGATGCATTTGGTCACTTCTCTGTTTCAAGAGTTTTGCTGGTATTCCATTCATCCTGCATAGCGGTTTCCATTCAGCAGACCAAAACGTCTGCTCAAATGAAACTTCCAGCTTAAATCTCCAACTCCTCTGGCTCATGAAGCTCATACTGTGCCTAATGGACCAAATGTAGCTTGCCTTTGGCACTGCTTGTCTTCGATGAAAAAGATCACTCTGTTTCAAGCAGCAGGCCGAGATTCTTCCTTATGATGCTGAAATGCAGTCGAGGCTCATTACTCGTGTGGCAGTCGGACACGGTGCACCACTTTTTTCTCATAAACAGCCCTCATGGTCTTCTCGATCTGTTTGAGGAACACTTGTGGTATCCTTCCACAAAGGGTGTTAACTGTGTCTAGGAACTTAGTCTGAAGAGGGTAAAATAAAGACTGGAACAAGTTCTCCTCAAAAGGATACTGAAAGAGAAGATGAAATGCATTAGGTTTCAAAGTGTTCAAGGAACTGCTTTGGTGTATTTGTTGAGGCACAAGGTCCACATTTCATATCTGACTGAATTCTGAACAGCAGAGGGGCCCACGTGACTCAACCATACAAAAGGCTTCCTCTTGAAGAGACACTTTCCTGCTATTAGTCTTCAAGGAGAGATTCAAGGAGACTGCACTCTGAATGCACAATGCAACACTATTTATTCTCATATGATTCAACACCCTCAGGACTTGCTTTGTTAACACTGAAAATTAGAAAGTGGACTTGCAAAGCGAAGACAAATGGATTACATTTCTTAAGCTTAAAATCTAATGAAAAAATTCAAGTCAAACAACTGGCTTTTATATTCTCTGAAAAAATATTGATTGTGTGCCTGGGCGTTGCTATGTGGTCGCTAGGGTGTTCTTACTTGTTTTAGTGTGCTGCTATGGGGTGTTTTTTTTATGCATAGTAAAGACATTTAAATGTTACAAAAGAATTTCAAATAAATGTTTAAATTAAATGCTGTTCTTTTTAACTTTCTATTCAAAGACTCCTGAAAAAAAATTAACAAGCACAACTGTTGTCAACATTGATAATAATAAGAAACGTTTCTTGAGCATCAATTCAACATATTACAATGATTTCTGAAGGACACTCAAGACTGAAGTAATGGCTGCTGAAAATTCAGCTTTAAATTATATTAAAGTAGAAAATAGTAATATATATATATATATATATATACACACACACATACATAAATGCAGCCTCCTTTTAACAACATTTAAAATATAAATAAATACTTGTATGCTAGTATGCATAACATAAGGTGTCTTTACAGAGCCAATTTTTTATGCAACGCTGTGTAAAAGCCAGACTAAATTAAGCATGCTTTGACCCGCCTCAGACCCTAGTATCAAAGAATACAGTTGTAATCGCTGTGAAAATGCATTTATGCCACCTCTGAGCAGCATTAAACAGTCTAGGTAAAAACACCTAAATGCCACTTCAGAAGTGCTTCTGTGCCACATTTGCAGTGTAAATTTGGCAACATATTATTATCAGTCTAACAGCCAGTCTAACAGTCTAGGGCTGGGCGATATGACCAAAATCTTATTTTATGTTTTCATTAACGATATGTACCTCGATATAGCTATTTTTATTTTATTTTTGTTATTAAAATTAAGAAAAATAAGCAAATTACAAGCACAGCAGAACAAATAAATATTAAATAAACTTTTAATTTATTCAGCTACAGTTGGCTAGGTTTATTTAACGTAGTAAGAAATATTCCAGAAATTGAATAAAGTGTATAAATAAAACACTGCATAGTCTTCACTGTATCAATCAAACATGATTAACATTAATAATGACAGACAGCAGCAGGTAAATAAGGCTGCTGTCCCTTTAAGACCAACTGCACGGATCCAATATACTGAAACACGGTTTTCACCCAACTGTTTTACATTTATTTAACATATATCCGACTGTGTTTACTTGAATACTCCACACAACGGGCATTATGACATAACTGTGTGCGTATTTGACCATTCAAGCACAGTAAAACATAAGAGATCTGTTTTTGCGATCGCATGCTTTTGAGAAAGGGGCTTTCAGTGCGTGCGCTTCGGCTGTGTGTCAGTCAGCGTGAGCACCGCATTGAGTTCTTTTTCACTGCTTATTGCACTTAATAACTCTACCAAGTGCATCCCACTCTTTGTTTTCTCATTCATGCATGTTTCCTTATCACTCAAAAGGTGTATAACGTTTAAGCAGTACTATGTTACGCAGATATATGTGCATACCGCGGAATACACGATATAGCAAAATCTCTAACGATAGACACTTTATTTCGCGGTAACAATATATACCGTCATACCGCCCAGCCCTAGCCATTCTATTAAATTTATCATACAATGATAGTAGCAACTCACCTCACGTATGGCATCATACACCACCCTGAAGGCAGGCTGCTTGTCGTCATGGTACACGCCACGGTTACCATGAAGAATAGACACTCCCTCTTCTTCCGCAGCCTTGCAGTTGCTTCCATACATGCAGTGATCTGGCCTGTAGTTCCACTGGCATGGAAATATGTACAAACACTCTGCAGACACAAATAAAAATATTCAATGTTTTATCCAAACTGCAAATAACACATTTGTGCTTGTGAGTATCTTCATTTTTCTTTTATTTGCCGGTGATTGTGGTTGGTCTACTCTTTTGGACCTGTTCCATAAGAGTTGTCAAACAAGCACTATGCTTGCCAAGTGTCTCACCAATTCAGAGACCTTAAAGGGATAGTTCACCCAAAAATGAAAATGCTATCATTAATTACTCACCCTCATGTCGTTTCAAACCCGTAAGACCTTCGTTCATCTTCGGAACACAAATTAAGATATTTTTGATGGAATCTGAGAGCTGTCTGACCCTTCATAGACAGCAACGCAACTGAAATGTTCCCAAGTCCAGAAACGTAGCAAGGAGATCGGTAAAATAATCCATGT